TCTCTCTCTCTCTCTCTCTCTCTCTCTCTTCTCTCTCTCTCTCTCTCTCTCTCTCTCTCTCTCTGTTGCGTTTTTACAGTTTAATAATATATCATGCGTCATTGGATAAACTTTATTTGAATTGACTCAATAACATTATTAAATATTAAAAATGAAAAATTATATTTTTAATGTAATCTAAACTCGTTCGACTGCAGTGTCTATTAATTTATCGTGTGAACGAATTAAGAACTTTGTTCGCGGACTAGGAAGAGAGCGCGGAAATTGGCATGGAACCAGTAGGAACTTTGCACTCCCACGTTCTCGATCGTACAATGTACGACTATTTCAATAATCTTTATTATGCGAAACGAAGCTGAAATTGATGTAAGATACTCTCGCTTCCGTCGACATGTCAAAACTTTTTAAATGAGATATTAGAATGAAGACTAGGGCTTCAGTTTTACTTATTGACTATTTAAACTAGGCTCTGTTTTCTTGCTCAATTAGAATGCACCTCAACCAGTTCTATATTGTGTTTGTTGACGAAATATGAGGCACATTTTAGAAATTCTACAGGTTTGTTTGAGTTATTAGTTAGCATTGTTAAAGGCTATTTAGAGTCAACCCTAAAAATGAAGCGTTCAATAAGAACATGTTAAAATGCGTGATAATTAATAGCTGTATTCTCATACATTATGAAATTTACGAATATCCGATTTGTGTTATTATAACATCATATTGCTTTTAATAACTGCTTTTATAAATTCGTTACAAAATGTAAAACAAATAAAAAAAATTATTACAAATAATATTTATTATCATTTTTTTCAGTATGATATAATAAAATTGTAAATTTAACAACTTGTATTTAAGAAAAAGAAAATACATAAAAATTGCTTGTACGAAAATATCTATGATAAAAAGCAAAGATTAAATAAACAATATTCAATAATATTGTTTTCCTATTTTCTGAGAAAAACAGATCAAATTAGACAATTTGTTCGATTGTGATGTTCGAAAGATTCTTTTTGAAATTCGCGATCTTAAATTGGATACTCTTTGCAGCATGTATACGCATAAATATTGCGTTTTTCTTGATCATCCATTGCATATCATCGCATGCGTAGACGTGTTTCCTCCCTGGCAAATCGTGCTCCTTCAAACGCCAGTCGCTGGCGCTTGAATGACTTCGTAATTGATGACTATCGTAATTAGCAAACAGGACGGTGTGAGTCTCGCCTCGCGGCGAAATGTTTCCGTACGCGTTTGCAAATGTGTGAAATTGCTGCACGCCATGCCAGCGCGCGACAATCTTATCGTTCACTGAACACTGGCGCTCGTGTAATACGTGGCTTCTACGGTGACCGGTTCGCAGTTATGAATTAGAAAAGACGGGCCTTTAAAGCGTTGAATTGATAAAGCGCTTCCGGAATTACGGCAATCTCCCTGCAGATCAAGAGCAACGTGGAGCTGATAATTTGCATAACACGAATCTGTTCACGACCGCCCATTCTCTTATTCGCAGTTATCTGTACGCTTACAAGAGGGATACTTATCTGCGTATTTGCAAGATTATCCACAAGCAGGAGATACCTATGTTGCAACATTCGTCAATAATTACCATTTCGTTTGCGCGACGTCTCCGATCTGGATTATCACGTTAGGGATATCAGTAGCAAGAAATCGCGTGTTAATGCTATGTAAAGGAGTAGCACTTTTCATGGCACTCCTTTAGCTCATTTAAATGATAAAAATAGTGATGCAAATGAAATAATGTATAAGTTATTAAATCACATGTTTGCGCAGTATTACACATAATATATTGCTGTAATAAATAATAATTTGTACGGTCTTGCAACTTTAATCTCTACTACATTACGTTTTTCTAATTTTGTACTAGATTAAATTACTTCAAAGCTTTATGTTCTTAATTAAAGTTAGGTTAAATTATTTTAAAACTCTATGTTCTTATTTTTATTCAACATGCAACATGATTTAATTCCTTCTATTAAATATATATTTTGTGTGTGTGTGTGTGTGTGTGTGTGTGTGTGTGTGTGTGTGTGTATGTGTGTGTATTATGAAATTTCCGCTACTGTTACTTGTTGCATATTATTATAAAAGAATTATTACCCGAGGGGTCAATTTGTTACATTTGTCTTTAGCTTGTTCGTATTAGCGGCAGTCTCCTTACATGATTCGAGGGCGGATATTCGCGGAATAGTAGTCGATAAATCCAGATGGCACGCCGCATGCCGGCCCTGACCGGTAACCGAGAAGAAACTCGCTGCTGAGTAAGTAATGGCCGTGCAATCGTTGTTTCCGTTTATAGAGATACAGGCCGTAGCTTCTCTAAGTAATTGCGCGCGCATATACGCGATGGAAAGCGACGAAAGAAATCAAGATGAAACCGGGTGCGATGCAACTGCAACTGCAGGACAATGCGATACGATTACTGCACATTGCTACCGATTTAAGAATACCGTAATAATCTCGATCGCATCGGTAGAATACATGTAAACGAACTTCTCTCACGTGAGACTTAAATTTATCGAGATCTCTATGGAGTACTTTTAGACAACGTTCATACACATACCTGGAACCTGTATTAGACTGGTCTCTATCTCTTTGATCTAATATATCTAAGTCTCATTAGTAAACGTTTGACGTTTACACATTTTTAGATTTTAATTTTGTACGCTATTATTTTTAGATTTTAATTTTACACGCTGCTATGTAGAAAATTATTATGTTACTATTATGTTTTATGTAATTAAGGCTTTTGAACTAGAGAAAACTATCCTCGTTGAAGCTTTACTGTCTTTCGTTTTATCCGAGATGTAAATGATTTTGATTACTTAAACAAAATGTTTATCTAAAAATGTCTTTAATATATATATATATGTACATGCGATATGCACATGTTAAACTCGAAACAACAAATGAACGATTTAGAAATATTGTCGCAATTTGTTTTATATTATGAAAAGATAACGAAAATCCTTTCAAGATAATGAGGATATATGTATTGAGATCGCCATAAAGAAGACGTAGTTGAGAAAAATCTTTATGGTCGGCCGATGTAAAGAGACACAAGTTACCTTAAAGGTATCAGTTCCTCTAGGTTCTTTCGCATATCGAAAAGACTGCAATGTAAAAGCAGCGATCGATTGCAACTTGCAATATGAAGTGCTCTGTCTGATGATCATTAGGGCCCGTTAGAACAACGCCTTTTTGTCGCAAAAGTGGAAACACAGAACGTGGCAATAATTTCCTTATCGAGAGAATGCGATCGTTAACCTCTTTGAAAATGGTATTTGTGCATCTAGTCCATGGCAATTCTATGAAACTTTTAAATAACAATTAGCAAATGCTCGTGATAGAATATCGTGAAATCACAAGTATACAACTATTGAACTTTTAATAAATTATCTTCAGGAATGAATAATTCATTTACAATTAGAATGCTATATGATCAATTAGAATGTTATAAGATCAAAAATTGATGTTCGTATGATATTATTTTCAGAACACTTTCGGTATGTTTTGAGATTACAATAACATTATCAGTATGTTATTCAATTATGTTAACATTATGTTAACACTCCATGGATATCATACGAAGACCCATTTTTGAGTATATTACCGGTATTTATATTTTTTTATACCGTTTTTAATCTCTGCTTTGTTCTCGTCTGGAAGAATATGTGCTTGCTTTCTCATGCCGCTTCACGCGAATACGTCAGACATTGTAAGAAGCGCACGAAGTTTAGATATAAATGCTTGGTGAATTTGCCAATACATATAACAAACCAATCACAAAACCCAGACCCAAGCTCTTTTTTTGAACCCTTCGTGGAAGTCTCCGCAACCGTGGAACCGCAACGCGAGAGATTCCTTTTCGCGAGAACGCATTATAGCTCCTCTTGAAACCGTCCATTTCAATCGAAGCATTCTCGATCTTTTTATCTCTGTTTGATTTTTTTATAATAAAAATTAAAGCGAAAAATGAATATTAGACTTAAGTAGATTAAAGAGTTGAACTTTTTTATTTTCTAAATATTTACCACTAGAATATATGATTTTATAATATAAATAATTTTCGCAAAGATTTTAAAATAAATCTCTTGCCGAATTAAAATTAATGCGATATTTAGATAGTTAACTAATTTCTTAAAAATTAATGGGCACCGATACAAAAGATAAAATATGATTAATTTTGTTGGTGGAAATAATAAAGCTTGAGTTCATATTACATTTGTGCAAAAATATCATCTATTTACAAACTAAGAATCGTGTAAATTTTATAACACGAAAAAAATTTAGGCAACTAAAGAAGACAGCAAAATTTTTAAAAATACTTAAAAAAATAAATCAGAATAGAATTATGGTACACAAAATCATGTAATTTTCTTATATAATTGATCCATCGAATCAAATTTATTGTTTATATCAACACGAGGGAAAAATATCGATTTTTTTTTTAATCATAATATAATTCTATTTCAGCTGCACATCGAAATATGTAGGAGAATATTGTCAACACTTGAATCCATGTTATACGGGATCGCGCTGCCAGAACGGGGGTTCGTGCAGAGTACGCGAAGGTATCGGGGGTGGTACCCCATCCTTTACGTGTGCTTGTCCTGTCGGCTTTACCGCCAGCCTGTGCGAGATCCCCATCGAGAACGCCTGCGACTCCTCGCCCTGCCTCAATGGTGCCACGTGCAATCTCAAGTCATTGCATGAGTATGTGTGTACGTGTAGCATTGGATATACAGGTTAGTAACTAATTTCTTTATTCGTGACGATATTGAAAACGCTAATTTTTACTAAATTTGGCTCATAAAAATATAAAAATATAAAAATAATTAGAAAAATAATTGTTGTTTCGAAGATGGAAATTTTTTTGCGATTTGAAGCTCTACGTGTTAAGAATCATTATAAACATCGATAAAAATTAATATTTAATGCGACAACTGATTGCACCGTTATAGTAATCAAAAGTAACTTGTTACGATTATCAAAGGTACTGAAAGAAAATTATGCGGATTCTTAAAGGGGAATAATTGCGTAAGTCCGACAATGAATAGGCCGCGCGTTAGTCATCGAATACTTAAATATGCTTATCGATTCGCGTGGGTTGAATAGCAAGGTTAATAGATAGACAGGACGATAACGTGTTGCAATTAACCAGTTCGCATTGTGCTGCGCTGCGCGTCATAAAGAAACGTCGAGATCGAGCCATAACTGTAAATTTGCATCCTCGAGCTAAAAGATACTCTATGTGTGCGTGCATACATGTCTGTAATATTGGATGACGGGATTTGCATCAATTCTTAACACGCAGAAGTCATCGATGTATATCTTCTTCAATGTAGCCAATTACATCTTGGACTACTTTAATTTTAATATCAAATTTGTGTAAATCGCGGAAGTGATGCTGACGTACGATTATATCTTTTACGACTGTACCTCGGAGTAAAATATCAAAGCACGTGCCGGTATGCTTGACGAATAAATCTAGAAACATCGAGGAACTTTCGAAAGAAAAGCAATGAGAGAAAGAGGCAGAAGAAGGAAGAGAAAAGGCAAGCTGAAGTGTGCGTTTGTAGGATAATTGGCGGAGAACCATTGCGGCCTTTTGCTGCGGCGGTACCTTTGGACGAGAGAGGGAGAGAAGGTGCTCAGTACCTTGCCTTTTCAGTGAACTCCCGGTAGGTCACGGAGAAGCAATTTACTGATCTTAAGATAATAACTCACTTTTATACATAATCAATATTTATTTTTTAATATATTGATAATTTTTCTGCTTAAAGCATTGGATTGAATTTTATTTAAAAGAAATCTTTTAAAAAGAAGAATTTAGGAGGTGAATAGAAATTATTTTTATAAATATATATGTAAAATTTGTTTTTTTTTTTTTTTTTAATTCTTATTTCCTTGGCGTATGAGATATGTGATCTTCGACTAGAGTTAATAGAAAAGAGAAATTTTTTAAATATACTTAAATCGTGAATGAGCACCGCTAGAGTTATAGCGATTGCACGGCGCAGGTCGCAGAAGCAAAGACATCTTGACCACGAGAAAACAAGTAGCGACTCCAGTAATTAGTTCCACTAATCAGTAGCCCGCGTAGGAAAGGAAAAGAGAGAGACGCTTACCTTAGATACATGCTCGACCGTCTGGGATTACCGCCATCTTAAGGGATATCTCTACTTGTGGACCGAATGATAAATGATAGTCGGCAAGAAAATGCCAAACTAATTTATTCTTATCTTTGTTAGCATCTTTATCTACGTTAAAATTTTATTTTAACGTTTTTGCGCTACAACGTTCTTGCTTTAAAAGATTTAAGTACATTTTCTCTAGCAAATAAAAGATTTTCTCATAGAAAATATTTAAGTTTTTAAGTTTCGATTGTTTTTCAAATTTTTAAATATTATGTGTAACTATTTACTAGTATCATAAAATTTCTTGACATTTTAATAAAATACCGTATAATTTATAATATTTAACAAGTGATTATGTGAGTAAATTAAAAGCAAAGTTTTTAATTAATTTCAATACGTTTAATTCTAAAGCTTTGATTTGGTAGTGACTCGAGTTATATAATTTTATTTATGTGCTACTTTTATTATTATAAAATTGATTAATATTATTGTTGCTTTATATACATTTGCAACATTAACAATAGGAAAATAATTAAAAATTATTTAAATATTGATTTTATTTATTTTTTTTTTTTTTAATTTTTTTATTAATTTTTGCGTTTGAGAGAATCAGACTGTTACATTAATCTTGTTTAAATTAAAATCTATGTAGAATGATAAAAAGACATTAAGATTAACTCATTTAAAAAATTAAAAGGTGCAATATAAGAAGCTCGTAATTTTAAATTGAATCATGATTCAAATTATCAATATGACGTTGCAAACTGTGCCGTTTTTTCGGCACAGTACGTGCATAATGCGAATGTGTGTCGGCGCAAGAGCGTTAAACAACATCGTCTCTTTTTTTTTTTCAGGCGAGCATTGCGAACGACAGGATTACTGTGCCTCGTCACCCTGTCGAAACAGAGCCGAGTGTCGCTCGCTCGAGGACAGCTACATGTGCACGTGTGCACCTGGTTTCACGGGGCTGAATTGCGCGGACGACATCGACGAGTGTGAGAGGAACCCGTGCAAACACGGTACCTGCAAAAATATTCACGGATCTTACAGGTAAGTCGGACATGCTTAACGGTTGCCCTGTTACACATACATATTTTTATCTCCAGAATGATGATTACACGACGTGTGCAGTGGAACGAGTGTTTCGATCGAGATTTAGGAATGTTTTTATAAGTCGAGCCTTTTAAAGCGAGCACTAAAAACACCGCACGTGATTATCGATGGAATGCCGTTCTCGACATATCCCGAGAAACTGAACTTTCTAATTATTTTTTTTTTTTTATATGTCTCCTCTTTCTCTTTTTTACACATACAATATCTCTTTAAATCTCTTATGGAGAATTATGCAGCTTATTAAATATTAATGCGATATTCACTCGACAAGTGGCTTTCCATTTTTAATACGAAAATGTCTCAGTAGGTAAGACTTTAAATTGAGATTCCGTTAAAGTGAATGTATCTGAAATTTATTTGTGAAGATCTCGTTATCGACTCGTCGTCGTGGCTGCAGCTTAATGATAGGAACATAAATATGCGCGATGGAAGAAGCGGCCGGAGAAAGAGATGAGCAGTCTGAAATCGCCGATGTGGCGATTTATATCGAGGCGAGGCCGCAACTCGGCAGCCAGGAATCTCTCATTTGTTCGGGGTTGCGGTACGCGCGTGCATCGCGTGAATGTGCACGGTCACGATCGATCTGCGGATAATCGATTCTACGAGCAATCGGGATCTGCATATGTGGAACGAGGGAGGAAGTAACAACGGGTTCGCAACAAAGATCGCGAACGAATGAGAGCGGCCCGGCGCGCCGCCACTTTCGTGAGGCCCGACCGGCCTCTCAAAAATATCCGTGTTGCATCCAAAGAGATGCATCCCGATGGGGACGAAGGTGGACGTGCCGGTGCGGCGGTGTGTCGTTGGTTGTCTCCTCGTCGTAATTACCAATTGAGCACGGTGCCCTGGAAGGCGAAACGCGTAACCACGCGAGGCAAACGAGGATTCATTCGATCTCATGGTCCATTACTGATTTGTTCCTAATTCGGCGTTTCGTTACATCCAAGATTACCTCCGTTCCGCTCTTGCAAAGTTCCGACGTGCGAATCGCGGCCCGATCGCGAGGCGTCGAAGTGTTCAGGAAGTGGGTATCGTATCAGAGAAAGTTAAATGTCTCGCTAATATGCAATCGTCTCGGAGATCGATCTTTCGAGAATCGATATAAGAGGAAGGATGATTGGGAATATCCAGCTCGCGTGTTTTTCAACACGAGCGTTAAGAAATCTGGCAACGCGAGAGATAATGATGCAACGCTAACGAGATTACTTCTCGGAAACTACCGAAGATAGGAATATGAGAATCAAAGGGTGAAAGATCACAAAAGATGGAAGATTCCGCTTGAAATTCGCACGCGGTGGCACGAGTTCCGGTCGGCGAGGATCAGAAGGTATAACAGAAAGATATAATAGAATTTCAAGGCAAGGAGGAGATCTCTGAAACGAGAGAGAGAGAGAGAGAGAGAGAGAGAGAGAAGAAACGAAAAAAGGGAAACAAAATTCACCGCGGAAAGAACAAGCTTGCCCAAAAACAGGTTTAAGTGAGGAACTTAAGGCTCGCTCTCTGCGGGACTATAAATCCGCACTTCATTGAGATCGAGTCGAGATTAATCAAAGCCTGAGTTTGAGCTGACTGCTCCGGACCAGATAATGTCGCTGGTCTCTATATTATATTGAATTATATCGGTGCGACGTCGGTCCATTTGCGTGTATGCGAGAAAGTATGCATGTATAAGGACGCTCCGTCTACTTTAAAGTCACTTACCGTGAGTGGCGAGAAAGGGCTTTGTCGGCGCATCGACAACGTTCGTTCCTCAGCTGGTACGGCTCGATATATTCATCTTCGTCCTGTCACTAATTTTCAAAGCCGCGCAAGTGAAAAGTTGCTGCTACAAAATGATAAACGGCAACTGCATTGATCTCGACAGACTTATTTTATAGAATTAAAATACATAACCCTGCGTATCAAATTCAGAGTATCAAGATAGTAATCAGATGATTGAATTGTAACAAGAAAAATTAAAACTTTTAGAATTTGAATGTGGAAATGATTTTTTTAAATTAATTAAATAATTAAATAATTAAATTTATATAAAA